CAGGTAATTACAGGCTGGTATGCCTGACGTCAGTGGTGGGGAAGCTCATGGAGAAGATAATGAGAGAAAAGATTTATTCACATTTGGAAGTGAATGGACTTGTTAGTGATATGCAGCATTGTTTTGTGTAGGAGTTTTTTGAGGAGGTGACAAGAAGAGAAGGGCAGTGGATGTTGTCTACATGGACATTTGACAAGGTACCTCGCAGGTACAGATAGTAGAGTCTCATGGGATCTGGGATGAGCTGGCTAGATGGATACAAAACTGGTTTGGTCATAGAAGACTGAGAGTAGCAGTGGAAGGATACTTTTCGGAATGGAGATCAGTAAATTACTGTTGTTCCCCAGGGATCAGTGCTAGGACCTTTGTTATTTGTTTTATATGTGTGTGTATATATATATATATATATATATATATATATACACATACATACATATGATCTGGAGGAAAATGTAGGTGGAGGTGGTCTGTTTAGGAAGTTTGCCGATGAAGCCAAAATTGGCAGAGTTGCAGATAGTGATGAGGATTGTCAAAGGATACAGTGGGATGTAGATAGATTGCAGATTTGGGCATGTGCAAATTATGCAATAACTGGCAGAATCCTTAGAACTATTGACGTACAGAGGGATCTAGACATCCAGATCCACAGAGCCCTGTAAGTGGCCACACAGGTGGATAATGTGGTCAAGAAGGCGTTCAGCACATTTGCCTTCATCAGCTGGGGCATCGAATGTAAAAGTTGACAAGTTATGTTATAGGTGTACAAACTTTAGTTAGGCCACATTTGGAATATTGCCTGCAGTTCTTTTTATTTTGATTTGTTTATTATTGTCACATGTACCTCGGTACAGTGAAAAATTTTGTTTTGCGTGCAGTACAGGTAGATTATACCATACAAAGTGCATTAGGGTAATAGAACAGAGTGGAGAATACATTATTATGCATGCAGAGAAGGTGTAAGAAGAGTGATATCGACAGTAACTTTAAAATTTGAGAGGTCCAGTCTGAAGTCTAATAACAAGGGGGAAGAATCTGTTGGTAAGTGTGTTTAACCTTTTGTACTTCTGTGCAACGGAAGAGTTTGGAAGAGATTATAACTGGGGTGGAGGGGTCTTTGATTATGTTGGCTGCCTACCCGAGGCAGCAAGAAGTATAGAGAAGGCTGGTTTGTGTGATGGACTGGGCTGTGTTCACAACTCTGTAGTTTCTTACAGTCCTGGGCAGAGCAGTTGCCGTATCAGGCTGTGATGCATTTGGATAGAATGCTTTCTATGGTGCACCTACAAAAATTGGTAAAAGTCTTTACAGACATGCTGAATTTTCTTAGCTTCCTGAGGAAGTAGAGGCTTGTTTTGCCTTCTTGACTATAGCATCAGCGTGGTCGCCACACTACCAGAAGGATGTGGATGCTTGTAGGGTGTGCAGAGAAGATTTACCAGGATGTTGCCTGATCTGGGGGGGTTTTAGTTATGGGGCGAGAGTGGATAAACTCTGACTGTTTTCACTGGAAAGACGGAGGCTGAGGGGATGACCTAATGGAGGTCTACAAAATTATGAGAGGCATAGATAGTCACAGGCTTTTTCCAGGGTGGAAAGGTCAACTACAAGAGGGCACAGGTTCAAGGTGGGAGGGGGAAAGTTTGGGGAGGAGTGTGTGGAGAATTTTTCATCCAGAGGGTGGTGATTGCCTGGAACACACTGACAGTGGAGGAGGTGATGGAAACTGACATGTTAGCAACGTTTTAAGGCGTATCTTGATATACGTGTGAATGGAAGGTGAACAGAGGGATGGAAACTGCGCATGGACAAAAAGTAGTGGGTCTAAATAAAGATTAGGCATTGGTGCAGTCTTGGTGGGCTGAAGGGCCTGTTCCTGTACTATATTGTATTGCATTGTATGTCCTGTTATTACTTCCTCAGTAATGGATTCTAACAATTTCCCAATGACACATGTTAAAGTAACTGGTCTATAGTTTCTTACTTTTTGACTCCCTTCCTTTTTGAATAAGGATGTTATTTTTCCAATCCATTGGAATCTTTCCCACATCCAGGGAATTTTGGAACATTATAACCAATGGATCCACTATCTTTGATGCCGCTTCCCTTTAAGAACTTAAGATGTAGGCCATCAGGCCTGGAAATTTGTCTGTCTTCAATCCCAGAAGTTTGCTCGGTACTTTTTCCTCAGTGATGATTGTTTTAGGTTCCTCCTTTTCTATGACCATTGCATTACCTGTTACTGTTTGAATGGAACTAATATCCACCATCATGAAAACTAAAGCAAAATGTTAATTTGATAACACTCCTGTTTCTGTGTTCGACTATTGACTCCATAGTCTCATCCACCAAGGGACCAACATTCACTTTAGCTACTCTCTTCCCTTTGATATATTTAGGATGTGGAGGTCCCAATGTTGGACTAGGGTGGACAAAGTCAGAAGTCACATGACACCAGATTATAGTCCAACAGGTTTATTTGAAATCACAAGCTTTTGGAACGCTGCTCCTTCGTCAGGATGATATGTTTATTGAAGCCTTTCCAATCACTTTTACTTTTGCACTAATTTTCTCTCATCCACTTGCCTGGATGGGTGCAGCTCCAACAACACTCAAGAGGCTTGACATCATCCAGAACAAAGCAGTCCGCTTGATTGGTATCACATTCACAAGCATCCACTCCCTCCACCACCGACGCTCAGTAGTAGCAGTGCACTATCTACAAGATGCACTGCAGAAATTTACCAAAGATCCTCAGACAGCACCTTCCAAACCCAGGATTACTTCCTTCTAGAAAGACAAGGGCAGCAAACACATGGGAACATCACCATTGTCAAGTTCCTCTCCAGGCCACTCACCATCCTGACTTGGAAATATGTTGCCGTTCCTTCGCTGTCACTGGGTCAAAATCCTGGAATTCCCTCCCTAACTGCATTGTGGGTCAACATTCGGCACATGGACTGCAGTGGTTCAAGAAGGCAACTCACCACAACATTCTCAAGGGCAACTAGGGATGGGCAATAAATGCTGGCCAGCCAGCGACGCCCACATCCCACAAATGAATAAAAGAAACCTTTGTCCTTTTTGTCACATGTTAATCTTTAAGGGTTTCCCAATCTTCCAGCCTGCCATGTGCCTTTGCAATATGGTATGCCATAAATTTTTTCCTTTATAATATGTTTCACATCCTTGCTAAACCATGATGATTATGCCCCCTCTTGCAATCTTTATTCCTTTTGGAGATACATTTTAGTTGCAAGCAATTAGTATCTCCTTAAATATCTGCCACTGCCAATCGACTGTCCTACTTTATAGTCTTCCTGCCCAGTCCAATTGGCCAAATCTGACCTCTGTAACCTTTGTTTAACTTCATAACATAAGTGTGGGACTCCAGTGTCTCAACCTCCAACTAGATTTGAAATTCGCACATACTATGATCACTGTTATCTAAAGGACCCTTATGAGATCATTAATTCATCCAACCTCATTATACAATATGACTATATAAATTTATGGGGTGTATTTTCATTTGCATATTAGTAATTGCAGATACATTCTATTTTGTTCAAAAAGCACACAATTTGTAGACAGTCAATGTGGCAATTTATAAATCCTTACTTAGGAAATAAAACCAGTCTGACTCCAAGTTGGTACACAGCCAGATTCTAAACAAGGCCTCACACCTAAAATGCATTGCCTGACCTGGGATGTCATCTCTGGTGTACTGAGGGAAACTGATGGGCCCCGAATGGCCTGCTTCCACATTACAGGGTTCTATGATTCTATGCTAAAACTTTTAGTTATCTTGAGGCAGTGACTTGAAAGAAATTCTGGAATTTGCATATTAATCCTTTCTAACTGATTAAAGATTTAACAGCCATTTTAAGTTTGTTCAACACATTCGCATCAGTTCTATGATCCTTTGATCTTTTGCTTATAAATTCTGTGTCTGATGCCGCATCTCTCACTGACATGTGGAGAAGGAGCAAGACTCCAAAAGCTTGTGTTTTCAGATATACCTGATTTTGTGTGATTTTTCACTTTGTCCAACCCAGTCCAACACTGGCAACTCCAGATCATTTCCTCCACCACACCCCACCCCCACCCTAATACAGCACCATTAACTTCACCCCCACCCTGTTACAAGACCAATAACCCCCCCACCCCGTTACAACACCAGTAACGGTCCGCACCCTGTTACAGCACCAATAACTGACCCCCACCCTGTTACAGCACCAATAACTGACCCCCACCCTATTACAACACTAATAACCTCCCCACGCCATTACAGAACCAATAACTGACCCCCACCCTGGTACAGCACCAATAACTGACCCCCACCCTATTACAACAGTAATAACCTCCCCACCCCATTACATTACCAATAACTGACCCCCACCCTGTTACAACAATAATAACCTCCCCACCCCATTACAGTACCAATAACTGACCCCCACCCTGTTACAGCACCAATAACTCCCCTCACCCTGTTACAGCACCAATAACTGCCCCCAACCTGTTACACCACCAATAGCTGCCCCCCACCTTGTTAGCACACCAATATCTGCCCTCCACCATTACAGCACCAATATCTGCCCCCCACCTGTTACAACACCAATAACTCCCCACCCATCCTGTTACAGCACCAATATCTATCCCCACTGTTACAGCACCAATATCTGCCCCCCACCCTGTTACAACACCAATAACTCCCCACCCAACTCGTTAGAACACCAATAACTGCCCCCACTGTTACAGCACCAATATCTCCCCCCTCGCCCTGTTACAACACCAATAACTCCCACCGACCCTGTTACAGCACCAATATCTGCTCCCCATCCTGTTACAGCACCAATAACTGCCCCACACCCCCACCCCATTACGATACCAATAACTGCCCCACACCCCCACCCCATTACAACACCAATATGTAATAACTGCCCCACACCACCCCAGGCTGTTTTGATCGTAACAGGGACTGGCCTTCACGTCACACAACAACACTGCCTGGGCGTGGTGTTTGGGGACATCGAAACTCGAGAGATAGAGAGAGATCGCAGTTGTGTTGCTCACTCGCTGCCTGGTCTCCTGATCCAGCGGACGCACAAGACCATGCTGAGCGGGGCGATGTGCTCGCTGTGCCTGGATTTCTACCGGAACCCAGTGAAGAGCCCGTGCGGCCACAGTTTCTGCCGAAGCTGCCTGCTGCAGTACCCGGGCCACGGGCAGCTACAGTGTCCTCAATGTCAGCAGGAGTTCGCCCAGAGCAGCGTCCGCACCGACAGGAGCCGCAGGAGGAGAGCGGACAAGGCTCGGCAACTGTTCAGCCGCCTGACCGACGACCAGGCTCTTTTAGGGGAGCAGGGAGCGGGCGCCTGCAGGTTCCAGCCGAACAGTACAATGAAGGAGGTAGCGGAAGTGTATAAGGTAGGGAGGTGGGATACAAGTCACAGGGAGGGAGATCCATCAGAAAGTAAAGAAACGAGGGAGAATCGGGAAAGTTTAAGGCGAGGGAAATCCACAAAAAGAACGGGGGGGTGGGGGGAACAGAAATAAATCAGGAAACGAGAGGGGGGGGAGGGAAAGCGAACGAGAAAGAAACAAGAATTTCGAGGAAGTGGAGAGTAAGAAATAAAGAATTGCAAGACAGAAAGTAAACGAGACGTCATTGTACGGCAGAGTGAAAGGAGAGGAGAGAGAAACGCGAGAAAGTAACCGAAAAAAAATGATGGTGTGAGAGAGACAGTAAAGAAAAAGAGATAATTGTGAGAGAGAAAGCAAAGGAGAGAAATGATTGTGTGAGAGACAAAGTGGAAAGAGAAATTTTTTGACTGAAAAGGTAGAGAGAGAGATTTGCAAGAGGACAAAGAAGAGAGTGAGATAAACTGGAAAATAAACAGGAAAAGGGAATATCCGCCTCCCCTTCTCTCTCTCTTTATTTCAGAACCCCCTTCCCCTCCCCCATTTCTGAAGAAGGGTCTAGGCCCGAAACGTCAGCTTTCCTGCTCCTCTGATGCTGCTTGGCCTGCTGTTCATCCAGCTCTACACCTTGTTATCTCAGATTCCCCAGCATCTGCAGTTCCTACTATCTCTGCATTTGAAAATAGTCAGTTCCAGAGGTCGGTATGTCCGTTGGCGACAGGTTTGATTCTGAGGGTCCTAAGCCATTGCCACAACATCCCGTTTAACTGCGTTCGTTCTGATCCAGGAAATGCTGCGGAACAAACTGGGTTCTCTTCAGAAGCAGAAGGAGCATCTTGACCAGTGCCAAGGTGTAGAGGAAGCCAACCGAGTGGAACTGAAGGTGAGATGTTGGATTCGCCTGTGGCGAGTCTGAAGAATTGGGTGTAAGTTCTCCCTCCTGGTCAATGTCCAGCCAAATCAGGCTCTAGTAGAACTAAATATTGTGCGTATCTAATGGCTGTCCAAAAACAACGTTGTCCGTTTTGTGTCCCCATTTTTACATGATCCCAGCTCAACAAGAACAGATGATAGAATAAAATCTGGCTTAATCGATGTCTGCTCCTATGATGCTGCTTGGCCTGCTGTGTTCATCCAGCCCTGCACCTTGTTGTCTCTTTTAATCGATCTTTCTTTGTTGTTCAACCAATTGGTGTCTAGCTGAAACAGGTAGGCACTGTTGGGGTGAGGTGATAGCTCGGTGGCATTATCACAAGACTATAAATCCAGAGACGCTGCTGATATTGCGAGGAACCAGAGTTCAAATCCTGCTGTGGCAGATTGTGGTATTCTAATTCAATAGAAATCTGGATTTAAGAGTCTAATGATGACCATGAATTCATTGTCAATTGTCAATTGTCAGGAAAAACCCATCTGGCTAACTAACATCCTTTAGGGAAGGAAACTGGCATCCTTACCTCGTCTGGCCTACATATGACTCCAGACCCACTGCAATGTGGTTGACTCTTAGCTACTCTCTGGGTAATTAGGGACAGGCAATAACCAGCAACACTCACTGTGAATGAGTAAAAAGAGACATGGTTTTAAACCATGCAGTTACACTATCAGGAAAGGGTGAACAAGCTGGGCCTCATTTTCTCTTAAAAAATATACTGAATAAGTGACCTTCGGACTGATGGAACATAATAATACTAGGGGAAATCCTGAGACAACTGTGCAGGGTATGAGTCAAACTACAACTGAAGTAGTGCGCAGAGTTTTGGTCTCCTGACTTATGGAAGGACATCCTTGAAAGCAGTTCAGGGAGGGATCACAAGGCTGTTTCCTGGCCTGAGGTGTTATATTCTGAGAGGACGTTGAGCAGATTGGACCAATACTTATGTGAGATTGGAAGAATAGGAGGTGAGCTTATCGAGACATGTAAGATTCTGATAGGACTTGTCAGGTAGTTGCTGAGAAGGAGAAACAAACTCGGGTGCACAGTTTAAAAGTGTGGGGTATCATATTTTTAAGACAGAGATGAGGAGGGATTTTTTTTCTGTGAGGATCATCAAGCTTTTGATATGACACAGAGACAGATAATCGAACCATCACCAGCCTTTCTATCTCTATTCACAACACAGTAAGATTAAAGCCTTTAAAGACTCTCAAATTGACCCCATGGTTCCTAACCAGTCTTTTTGACTAACCAATGCCAGACCTTGAGAATAATCAATTCTCAACACAGGGTTCGTAGCTGAAACAAAAGTCTTAGCAATTTATTAACAACACAGTAACTTCAGAATTAAAATTAAAGAATAAAGTTATCTAATTGGTCTTTGCTTTAAACCAAAACCAGCCTCATTCACACAAAAGACAATCACCAACAAACACAATTAAGGAATTTCTCTATTACAGACAGCAGTAGAGACTGGACCATTGAATATATTCAAAGCTGAGTTAGATTTTTGATTGAGAGATTTCAGGGAAAAGAGTCCAGCCCACAACCAGTCCATGATCTTATTGAACAGCAGAGCAGACCTGATGGGCTGAATGGGCTACTCTTGGCTCTACTTCTTATGATCTAATAAAGGCTTTTAAATTCTCGACAGGTTTTGTTTGGGTCAACACAAAGCAAAGGGAGATGAATGTGAGTTGGTCACCAAGAGCTGTCTGTGGGTCAGCCCACAGCAAGCAGACTGCAGTGTCTCAAGAAGGCAGCTGAGCACCACCTTCTCAAGCTCAACTAGGGACAGGCAATAAACGCTGGCCCAGCCAGAGACGCCCAAATCTCACAAATGAATAAATTTAAAAAAATGAAATCCAATAGAGAAATATTCTTTACCCAGGGAGTGGTGAGAATGTGTGGCTAAAACCATGGGGAGTGGTTGAGGCAGATAGTGTAATTGTGTTTAATGTAGAAGATGATAAGCACGAATTGGTAAAACAAATCTGGCCAATGCTGGTATTTGTACAGTGGCTGGTAAATATTACGTAATGCCTGTGAGATTCTATACAATTGCGTTCCCATTGTGTCGCCTTGAGTATACACACAGCTGTGTGTCCAGTGTTTGACCTTAGAGTCCTCTTAAGGAGCACATGGAAAAGAAAGAGACCATTCAGCCCCTCGGATCTATGTAGGTTCTTTGTAAAAATGATCCAATTGCAGAATCTCAGAATTCTTACGAAGCAGAACATAAGAACTAGGAGCATGAATAGGTAATGTAGCCCTCCAGCCTGCCTCACCATTTAATACAATCATGGCTGATCTCATCTCGGCCTCGACTCCACTATCTTGCCAGCTGTCCATAACCTTTCAACCCATTCCTAATTAAAAATCTGTCTATTTCCTCCTTAAATTTACTCAATGTCCCAGCACAATCTGGGCAGTGAATTCAATGGATTCATGGCCTTTTGAGAGAAATAATTTCCTCTCAGATTTTAATTCTGCTACCTGTTAGCCGAAAACGATGACCCCTCCTTCTAGCTTGCCCCACGTGAGGAAACATCCTTTCTATGTCTATTTTGTCAATCCCCTTTAGTATCTTATACACCTCGATTTGATCTCTTCGCATTCTTCTAAACTCCGGAGAGTACAGGCATAAACAGATAAATCTCTGTTAATAAGACAAACCCTCATTGCTGCACTCAGTCAATTGAACCTCCTCTGAACAACCTCCAATGCAACTCCATCCCTTATCAGGTAAGGGACCAAAACTGTATGCAATACTCCGGGTGTAGTGTTACTAATGCCATGTACAGTTGCAGCAACACTTTCCTGTTTTTATACTCTGTTTCTCCAGCAATAAATGTCAATAAAAGAGGCCATTCTATGTATCATGTCAGCAGCAGGTCTTCAGTAAGCATCAAGACTTAAGTCCAATTCTCCTGCCTTTTCTTCTTAACCTTATACATTGTTTCTATTCAAATAATCAGCCGAAGCCCCCTCAAACAGCTCAACTGAATTGCATCACACTCTGGGTAGAGCATTTTAGGCCCAGACCACTCATTGTGTGAAAAGGTATTTTTCTAACATCACATTGCTTGTTTTTCAAGTCACGTTAAATCTCTGCCTTCTTGTTCTTGATCCTTTGTAAGAGCAGGAGAGTTTCTCTGTATCTACTCTATTCCAGCTCGCTCACAATTTTCAAAACACCTATCAGATTCCCTTTCTTTACTCCAAAGAGGACATCTCAACCTCTCCAATCCAATCTGTTGATTACATTTTCTCATCCCTGGAGCTACTGTGGTAATTCTCTTCCACAGTCTCTCCAATGCATTTCTATCCTTCATATTGCATGACACCCAGAACTGTACCACAATGCTCCAGTGTAGAGACCATATCTTTTTAATTTTTTGCATTTTTGATTCTTTATGCCCTATTTTCTGTAAGCTGTGGATTTTGACAAACAAGTCAGAGATTTTATAAGTTGTCAGCCAGTTTTTCTGTGCCACCTGCAAGCAAGTTAAAGTAACCAGAGAAAGCAAATAGAGAACAACAACCCCTGACGAGCAAAACGGATCATTTCAGTGTAGCCTAGCGACTGCAGCCATTCCAATTCTTTCCCTCCAGCCATTACACCAATGTTTTGGTTATTGTGTCTGTCTATGTTTAGGTGTATGGATAAGGTGAATAAGGTGGGGCATTTCAAGTCTGGGAGCATATTTTTAAAGTGAGAGGGCAAAGATTTAAAAAAGACATGAGGGGCAATTTTTTGACATCAAGGATGGTTTGTGTGTGTCCTTCCTAAGGAAGTGATGGATGTGAGTACGATTGCAACATGTAAAAGACATTTGGATCAGTACATAAATAAGAAATGTTTGGAGGGATATGGGCCAGGAGCAGGCAGGTGGGATGAGTTTAGTTTGGGACTATGTTCGGCATGAACTGGTTGGACCGAAGCGTCTGTTTACTTGGTGTGTGCTGTGCGTGTGCGCGTGCGTTCATAGAGTTTTATGTTGACAGTGTGACAGTTCATCAATGTTTATCTGTAGTTAGAATCTATAGATTTCCAGCATGCTACCCCAGTGAGGTGTTAACACCAGCTGAGACGTGAGATGTAACAAGAATCTTGTACAAGTTCAGCATCACCTCCTTGCTCTTGTACGTGATGCCCTTATTAATAATGTCCAATACACAGTATGCTTCACTAACTGCTGTCTACATTTCCTGCTACCTTTCGTGAATTATGTACGTGTACACAGCTCCCTCAGCTCCTTTTACAATAGTGCTTTCTATTTTCTGCTGTCACGGTGCATTCCTTGTATCAAAATATATCACCTCAACTTTCTTCACACTGAACTTTATTTCCCACCTATCGCCCACTCTGCTGACATTTTACGTGCTGTTGAAATTCCACCCTGTCCCCACTGTTTCCAGTGCTTCCAATTTTCATATCATCCACAAATTTGAAATTGTTCCCGTTCACCAAGATAAAGATCATTAATATAAGAGAGGACGCAATGGCCTGGTGGTATTATCGCTGGACTGTTAATCCAGAGCCCCAGGGTTTGTTCTGGGGACCTGGTTCAACTCCCGCCAATATGAATTCAATAAATATCTGGAATTAAGAGTCTAATGATGACCATGAATCCATTGCCAATTGTCGGAAAAACCTATATGGTTCACTAATGTCCTTTAGGGAAGGAAACTGCCATCGTTATCTGGTCTAGCCTACATGTGACTCCAGACCTACCGCAATGTGGTTGACTCATAACTGTCCTCTGGCCAATTAGGGATGGGCAATAAATGCTGGCCTAGCCGGCGATACCTTCATCCTGTGAATAAATTTTTAAAAAGTCAGGAGAAGCAAGTGTCCCAAAACCAATCTCCAGGGAACTCCACTATGAAACTCCTCCAATCTGAGAAACCTCCATTGACAATTACTGTCTGTTATCTATTACTCAACCAATTTTGTACCCATCTTGCTACTGACCCATGAGCTATAACTTCTTTCACAAGTCTGTTGAGTGGCACTGTACTGAACACCCTCTCGAAGCCAAGTCCTTGAATATTTTTAAGGTAATTGTAGACAGATTCTTGATAAACAAGGATCTTAAAGGTTATTGGGGGTCTATAGGAATGTGGAGGAATCGGATTGACATGACATTATTGAATGGTGGAGCAGGTTCAATATGTATATCTTTCTGTCACTAGTGTGTCCACTTCTCAACTCTTTTTCTGGAAGAATGTTGTTGGGAATGCATATTTATGGACTAAATGAAAAACTGGAAGATGTGAAATTGGTTGGACACTTTGTGGATTAAAAAAGTGTTTTTAACAGGGAGGGAAATGAGGTCAACAGTTTAATGTGGGCTGTGATCCAGTCGCTTAATTGAAGAAAGTCAAATGACTTTGGAAATTAGCCAAGTAAAGCCATTAGGGGGATAAGAGATAGGGTTATTGCCATTATTGCTGGAAAACCAGGCTTTGGAAGAGACAATGATACCTTGTGCTGATTGTTGCGTTGCAATGCTTTCTGGGCATCGTCTGGCTTTCACCAATCTAGAGAGTCATCAAGGGGAAAACCTCTAGGACTGGAGTAAAGCTGCAAATCTCTCTCTCAGTTGAAGTATTTGGGAACCTGATAAAGTTTTCACATCTCAGAATTTTGACTGTCTTGTAAACCCTGAGATACTGAACTGTGACCACATCCAAAGACTTGGTTCCAACTTGATTTCTAAAATCTTTCCTTGGCTTATGACTGTTAATGGTTTGATTTCATCAACAAGAAACCCAGTGGATCATTCGAATTTATCAAAATCAATCCTTTGTTTTCAGACCATTATTCAATAAGGGTGTTTTTTTTTTCTTCTGACCTTTGTTGAAAATAAACTTCATCGTCTTTTCTTTATTGGTGTGTGCGTGTGAGTGTGTGTGTCTGTCTGTGTGACCGTGAGAGGTTGTAGACTTGCTCACCCAGCCAGTTGGGTTTGGTTGCAAACGTTTTGTCACCCTGCTAGGTAACATCGTCAGTGCGCCTCCGGTAAAGCATTGGTGTTCTGTCCCGCTTGTTATTTATATGCCTCGGTTTCCTGGGATGGTTGGCATCACTTTCAGTTCTGTTTTTCAGTGGTTTGTATATCGGGTCCAGTTCAATGTGTTTGTTGATGGAGTTCCGGTTGGGATGCCAGGCCTCCAGGAATTCCCTGGCATGTCCCTGATTGGTTTGTGCTATTATTGATGTGTTGTCCCAGTTGAATTTGTGCCCTTCTTTGTCCATGTATATTGAGTCCAGTGAGAATTGGTCCTGTCTCTTGGCGGCTAGTTGGTGTTTGTGTATTCTTGTTGTCAGTTTTCTTCCAGTTTGTAAGGTTTTTCACAGTGCTTTAAACACAAAGAGCACGCACATGTGAAACATAGGGGAGCACACAGACCACCAATTACATACTCCCCTGGTACTCGATGCTTTCGCTCCCACACAGAGTAAATTGGGGGAAGATTCCAAAATAAGCAGCCAGCCTATATTTTACTGTGCACAGTGTTGTTGCGTTTAATAACTGCACTTGGAAAATAAATCAATTTCCCTTCCCTGTCTTCCCTCAGTGCTCTGCAGATATCCGTGTTAAGTGCCCAGTCCTAACTGAGCACAAACCTGGCTTAAAAACATTGTCATTGCATCATATTCCCACATGTCTACCCCTTGCTTGAAGCTCACTGAACGTATCCATCATGTGCAAAGACAAGCGCGCATCATCATCATATCTTTACATTCCTCATGGTTCCAATAAATGTCGCAAAAAAGGTTCTTCAATTTCCCTAATTTCCCTGCTCAACAGAGTGGTCAGAATGTGAAACTTGCCACCACAAGGAGTGGTGGAGCTGAGCAGTACACGTGCATTTAAGGGGAAGCTGGTTAAGCACGTGATGGAGAAAGATATAAAATATGTTAAGTTGGATATGTTCATAAATAAGGGGGCGAAACCTGCCTCAGTGTGGCAAATCCTGTGTAGTTGAAGACACCTAATACTATTTGATCATGATGGGAGACTGTTTATCTTCCCCAGAAATACGTTGAAGATCTCCGGGAGAATATCATCTCAGAGTTTGCGGAATTGAAGCAGTTTATCAGGAGCGAAGAGGCAGCCCTGATAGCAAGACTTGAAGAAAAGCAGAAGGTGGTGTCACGAGAAATAGAGGATAATATGATAAAGATTTCAACGGACTTGGCCTCTATTAATCAAACAATAAGCAAAGTAGAAAGCTTGCTGGCTTTGCAAGAGGCTGAACTGCTGCAGGTATTCATCTCCCTGTATTGTAAATAAGACAAAGAACTGTAGATGTTGGAGGTCTGATACAAAGACAGAACTTGCTGGAGAAACTCAGCAGATCTGCAGGATCTGTGGAGAGGAAGCAGAGTTAAAGTTTCGAGAATTGTAACTGGTTCTGATGAGGAGATCACTGGGCTCAAAACATTAACTCTGTTTCTCTTTCCACATGTAGTTCCAGGCCTACATTGTAAATAACCTGCTAATCGCACCTCTCAAGTGCTTTGTTCTAACAAACAAACTGCACGATCTGATAATTATACCCGCTGTTAACCTGATTCCAGCCAAACTCACTGGTTGGTGCTCTTACCTCTGACTCAGAGATTCGTGAGTTCAAGTTCCACATCAGAGAATTGAGTCTGCAATCTTGTTTGATGCTTCACTGAAAGTCCTTGAGGGGCATTACCTTTCAAATGAACTACATTCATAGAGTCATACAGCACGAAACAGACCCTTCAGTCCAACCAGTCCATGCTGAACATAATCCCAAACTAAACTAGTCCCACCTGCCAGCTCCTGGCCCATATCCTTCCAAACCTTTCCTGTTCATGTACTTATCCAAGTGTCTTAATCGTTGTAACTGGGGAGAGAATGCCCGCTTGGGGGAGGTGCCTGGGGGTGGGGACAGGGTCAGAGGCTCCCTGTTGCTGGGTGGGTGGGAAAGGTTTTTTAGAGCGGGAATGATAGAGAAGGGCAAAAGAAAGTCGGTGATGGGGTGGAAGACATGAGAGATCAAATTGCATGAGGGTGGGTGGGACAGGGCCAGAAGGGGTGATAATGGGAGGATGGGGGGAGAATAGGGTGTTATAGCCCCTGATTTTTGGATGGGTGTGGAGGTTTGGAATGGAGGATGTGCCCCAGTGGTTGGGTGGTGTGCTGCAGACAGTTCTTACCACCCCCCCTCAAATCCAACATGTCCTCATTCCACACCCCCTCCATTACCCCGGTTTGCTCACATCCCCCCTTTGCCGAACCCCGGTTCTATATTGTGACTCTTCTCTGAGCATGTGACGTCAACAAAATTCCATGTGATATAGCGGGTCTAGAATCGAGAGCAGGCATGTTTCAGGATTAGCCCGCAGTGGCAGATGTCAGCAGACACTACCACTAGGATTGTTCAAAGGAGGTGCGAATGGCAAAATGGTAAGTCGGCAACCCGAAACAAAGACAATGGGAAGATGAGAAATGGGAGAAGGGTTTTGAGAAACATATCAACCATGACCGAATGGTGGAACAGACTCGATGGGCTGAATGGGCTAATTCTGCTCCTCTATCTGATGATGATGAAACTGTTGACCTCAAAGTTGAGTCCGGAAAGCTGGAAAGGACTTCCTGGAATGATGAGATCCTCGAGTTTGCATCTAACTTCATTGGGACACTGAGGGAGGCTGAGGACTGAGAGCGGGAGCAAGATCGAGAATTAAAATGTCGGGTGACTGGAAGCCTGGGTTCAGTCTTGTGGAGTGAACGGAGGTGTTGAGTTCGGAATTCCAGCGCGTGCAGTAATTTACTTTCACTTGGATAGAATAGAACAGCTATTTATGGTCCCCATATCTTTACAAAATAAAAAGGGAACGGTTTTATAAGTTGCCGTAACGCGGCACCTACATTAACGACAGAAGTCTTAAGTAAGAAGGAAAAGGAAGTCAAAGTTCATCGTGGTTCATTTAACAGCTCCTAGGTTCAGGATGCTGGAAAACCGGGCCGAATTGCCACGCAGGGCTGGGCCAAGACAGCCCTGCCATGCCGAGATTAGACCTCAATGCCAAACTGCTGGAATACCCAGAAGCCGCCGAAGAAGACCTCCATGATGAGGGGGAGCAAGGTGTCCAAACTGGGACAAGAATGCCACTCCGGTCTGAGACCGCCCCTCCTGGACAAGACCGTCCCCACCAAGCCCGTACCGCCATTCCAGGCCATTGGAAGCCACTGTGTCGCTTGGCCTGGGAGAAGGCGTCTTCCACCCAAGTCGTTAAAAGAAGTTTCGGTCCCATAATAAATGGAAACGTTAAACCAAAAGGATAGCAAAAAGAAATAGACCAGCTCCCGAGGTGAGGAACCCGTAAGTTGTGCTGCTACTCTGCCGCCATCTCGAACAGTAAAGAATATTACTCAAGGAGCCATGTTGCCAAAGGTTTTGCCCCCCACCCCTTGCATTGACAGATCAGGACAAACACAAGGCTGCCTAAGTTGAAACAATTACACCTTGCTAACCAATCCCCACCCTTTTCTCCTGCAGTGAAAAATTACTGTGATTGTTGGAAATTCGGTATTCTTGTATCTGTCCCTGATAAGCTCGAGAGGAAAAGCTTCAGCAACGCTTTCTCCTTTTTTAGGCGATTTTATTTTCCAGTGATTTAGGCTGAGGGTTAAACCAGACATTGGAGAAATTCTCTCCTGCTCATAATGCTGCCAGGGGATCCGCCTAAACTTTCTGTTCAAAGCAATGGAGTTCAATTCAAGCCCATGGCAAACTGACTCAGAGGACAAAGTGCTATCCACTGGGCCATGGCTGACATCTCGGAGGGTATATAAACACAGAGGCGTAAGGTACTTTGGGAGCAATAGTATATCAGAGCAGCCAGCCTTTGTATACCTCTGTGCCATCTATTGCATAAGCTGTTTTGCAAACACAAATATTGCACAAAGTCAAAATAACTCCCAATGGGACTTGAGGTTAGCTGTTCATTAGCAATCCATTAATATCTACAGATGTTTCAGAACAAAGAGAGCAGATTAGACTAATTACTGAAAATTAGTTCCTGACAAGTCACAATTTATATGGAGGGAGAAAATGATGTAATGTTTCACACTGATGCGTTGACACCAGAAATCATTTACTTCTGGTGACAGATCTAAAATGTTAATTCTGATTCTGTCCAAAGATGCTGCCAGACCTGCTGAGCATTTTCAGTTTTTTTTAATTCAAATCTCCAGCTGGTACATGATTTTAATTCTGCACATCCTTGTCTGTGTGTGCGCGCGCACGCACCTGCATGTGTATGTGCTTTTTTGTGAGTGTTTGTGCATATTTATTTGTGTGTCTGTTTTTGTGTATTTGTTTACCTGAGTGTGTGTGCATTTGTTTGTGGGTATGAGTGCATGTTTTTTTTTTTTGTTTGTGCATGTATTTGTTTGTGTGAGTGTATGTTTGTGTGAGTGCCTGTTTCTGTTTACACTCATCTCCCCTGTGAAAGTTTTTTTCTAATATGAGCTTCTGTTTTCATTCTAGGATATGAGGTCCAATGTCAAATGGTATGAAATGTTTTGCTGTATCCCTAACTAATGCATGCACCTCAATGTATCACCCCTTTCTATCTCTAAGACCTCCTCCAACCCTACCACTGCCTCAGATCTTTGTGCTGTTCTAATTCTGGACCCATGCACAATCCATCAGTCCCCTGGGCGCCTAGACACTAATCTTTCAAATTTGCAACAAAACTGCTTCTCAGTCAACCTTTCTTCCACCTTTTAAGATGCTCTGTAAAATCATCATCTTTGACCAAGTTCAGTATCCCCCTGATTAAACATCTTTGGTGGCTTAACGTCAGGTTTTTCTTCATAACCTTAAGTTCTGTTCACGCATCTTCACTGTAGGGATGGTGTATAGTGGTAATGTCATTGGGTTAGTACTGGTAAGGCCAATGCTCTGAGGGAATATTGGTTCAGATCTCATCATAGGAGCATGCAGAGTTTAAATTCAGTTAATCAATGTGGAATTGAAAGGTAGTCTCAGTGATTTGGCCATAACACTACCGTCAAATGTTGTTTAAAAACCTATCTGGTTCACGAAAAGGAAGGGAAATCTGCCATCCTTACCTGGTCTGGCCTCCATGTGACTCCAGACCCACAGAAAAGTTCAACAACATCCTGATTTTAAAAATGCTTAGCCACATATTTCCTTCCATGGCCTCACCCCTCCTGGTTTCTGTAACTACTTCCAGCTCTGGGAACTAGCGCTAGCGTCTGTCCAACCCCTATACCCTGTTTGCACCATTGACAGCTCTACTTTCAGATGCTGAAATTTCCATTCGAAACCCCTCCATCTCGGCTTCCTCCTCAAAGTGCTGCCTATAACCTATGATTCTTTGGTCACTTGATATAATGTTTCCTCATGTGGATGGCTGTCAAATGTGGGATAATCACTGTAGTGGAACGCCGCGTGAAATTAAGGTGCTGCGTAAATGCAAGTTGTTGTTGCTCCAGCAGTTTGGAATGGGTGAGTAGGACAGGCTGTGAATTCACGTGTGCGGTCCCTGTGGCGGCTAGGCTGATGGTGTGGAGCATAGGGGAGGGTCACCCCTTTTGTGGGGGGCATCCAGTAACAATTCTGCAATAAAGTGGCAGGAGGTGGACTCTTTCAGCCCCACTGTGATGTGACGCTGAAGGCTTGCTCTGCGCTCCGAGGGAGCCCAGACACTGAGATGATGCTCCAGACGTTGCCTCGGGAATTCAAGAGCCGGTTTGGGATTTGATTTCCGAGAATGATTGAATCCCTACTGTGTGGAAGCAGGCCATTCAGCCTATACTGACCCTCCAGAGAGCATCCCACCCAGACCTAACCCCCTACCCTATCTATCCCTGTAATGCTGCATTTTCCACAGTCAATCCACCTAACCTGCACACCTTTGGACTGCAGGAGAAAACTGGAGTACCTGGAAGAAACCCAAGCAAACATGGGGAGAATGTGCAAACACCACACAAACAGGGTGGGATTGAACCCGGGTCCCTGGTGCTGTAAGGTAGCAGTGCTAACCACTGAGCCACGGTATTACTGGTATCACATCCAAAGTGACGGCTGGCCTTTTACCTCTTACTTTTACCAATATGTGGCTTCTCACCTGCTCACCAAAAAGTCTTCCTGAATATTGTGCTTTTGAGTGCCGTGAGGATTGGCAAATGCTTTAAATGCAAAAGGGGAGCACACGGGCCACCAATTACATACTCCCCTGCTACTCTATGCTTTCACTTCCGCACAGAGTAAAACTGGGGAAGATTCCAAAATAAGCAGCCAGCCTGCACTTTACTGTACACAGTTTGAAATGCACAGTGTTGATGCGTTTAATAACTGCACTTGGAAAATTAATTAATTTCCGATTTTTTGCTCAGGTCCAGAGTCGAATATCAAGGTCCCAAAATGCTTTCTGTTTCTCTGGCCCTGGGAGAGTTCAGTGGGCCTCTGCAATATAGAGTATGGAGACGGATGCTGAAGGAAATAAAGACAGGTAACATTGGATCTTCCTCCTGTTGTTGGAGGTGAGGGAGGTGGGAAAGCACAGATTCAGGTTACACAAATGACCGTTAGTAATAATACTGTAGCCAAGGTACCTGGTATCATTTTAAACAAATTGACTGGCTGGTTATCACATGGAAACCGAGCTTTAATTGTTAATTGTTCAAAGTTCAATGCTTAATGTTTAACATCAATTGGGTGGAGAGTGAGTTCAAAACAGCATTTTGTTCACATGTGTCTCCCAGCTCTGTTTTCTCTCAAATTCAGAAGGTCAAGGGGTGATCTGATCGAAATCTTCAAGATATTAACACGGAAAGACAGGATAGATAAAGATAAACTACTTCCACCAGTTACAGATTTCAGAACTGGGGACACAGTCTGAGAGTTGGGGCCAGACCATTCAGGAGAGATCACAAAGGGTGATCGATGTTTTGAATTCTGTTCCTCAAACTGGATTGGTTTTGAGTTTTAAATCTGAGAGAGATAAATTTTTGTTAAACGAAGGCGTCAAGGGTGTTAGGCCACAGGCTCGAGGGGCTGAATGGCCTAGACCTGTTCCTAACCTATGGCTTAGGTTAAAATCGGACCCTAACGTTTCCGGGTAGGGACAGCAGATCTTATTCTTGAAAGGAAATTCGTGAATCCATCAGAGTTTCTTTTTAAATGACAGCTGACAGCTTCAAAAACACTTTGACTAGAAAGACAAATCTTTACCCGTTGATTTCATTTGCAACATGGCAATCAAATTTTCAAAACTGGGGTCATGATCTCGTAGAATCTCTACAATGTGGAAGCAGGCCACTCAGCCTATACCAGCCCTCTGAAGAGCATCCCACCCAGACCCAACTGCATCCCTGTAGCCCTGCATTTCCATGGATAACCCACCTAGCCAGCATACTACGGGCAGTTTAGCACAGCCAATCCACCCTAACCTGCACATCTTTGGACTGTGGGAGGAAACCCATGCAGAACATGCGAATTCCACATAAGACAGTTGCCTGAGAATGGAATCGAACCCAGGTCCTTGGCACTGTGAGGCAGCAGTGCTAGCCACTGAGCTACCTCTGTTTTCAAATTCTTATAATTCATTCCAAATATTGGCACTCTTCTGTTTGTATTCCCGGACGTCATTGTCCAACAGTGAAATAATAAGCAGCACTGGCTATGAAAACCTATTGGTCATCAGTCCAGATACAAACTCTGTACATGACTCAGATCTGTGAAGATTTTAATTCAATCTTTTCAAAATAGGCAGAAATTTCAAACACAGCCAAATATGGGTCACTCAGAATAGGAATTGGAGGTGGAAGGTGTAGCTGACTGCATTGGATTCCTGCAGTTGTGACAGATTTAAGATCCCATGGGACAACTGTGAGGGAGACGGTTATTTATGTGTTTGTTGGGAGCTCATCAAACACAAACAATGATATAGAAAACAAGAGCAGGAATAGGTCATGCAGCCCATCCAGCCTGCTGTGCTGTTCAGTACAATCCAAGGCTAATCATCCAACTCGGTCCCCTGTTCCTGCCTTCTCCTCCATTTAGCCCCAAGGACTATATCCAACTCCTTCTTAATCATATGCTTTGGCTTCATGCTTTGGCAGTGAATTCCACAGGCTCAACACTCTCTGGGTGAAGACATTTCTCCTCATCTCAGTCCTCAATGGCCTACCCTTGTCCTTAGACTGTGGCTCCCTGGTCATCGGGAACATCCTTCTAACATTGACCATCAGTAGTCCTGTTAAAACTTTAAAGATTTGTCAGCTGTAAGTAATTTGTCCCAACTAAACAAGTTGAAAAGAAGTAATTAATTCACTGGGAGTAATTTGAGATCCCCCAAGAATATAAAAGGTTCTACATAATGAACGATGTTGCTTTATATTCTGAAACATTTTAAGAGTTGTTTATTCAGTGAAATTAGAATGCTGTAATAATACCCCATTCAGTGGCATATGAGGGCAGGAAGTTTATTTTGATGGTGCGTTTTTGGATCATGGACACACTGACAAACCTGGTATTTATTGTCCAACACTATACAGTTGAGTATGGCTAGTCTACATCAGAATGTAACAAAAACACAGAGAATTGCTGGAGAAACTCAACAGGTCTGGCAGCATCTGTGGAGAGAACGACAGAGTTAATGTTTTGGGTCCAGTACAACTTCTTCAGAACTGAAAGAAAGTCACATACATTACTGAGGGTCTGGAGTCACATATAAGCCAGACTGGGTAAGGATGGCAGGCTTCCTTCCTTAAAGACCATTAGTCAACCGGATCGGCTTTTCTGACAATCTCCAGAGTCACTTGTGCCAATGACAGATCTTTATTTCCAACTTCCTTCAATCCCTGAAAAAAAAATGACTTCACATTTTTCAAACTGTCCCAGTGGGATTTGAAATCACCTCCTGTGGGATTATTATGTAAAAGTGATTGCATGTTGTGCACCACGCTCAACTTGCCTTCCTGTCAAAAGCTGGTGGTGACTGAGACGTTGTGGGTAACGGGCAAACAATTTGTTGTTGTTGATTGTGCTGCCTGGGACACAGCGACGCGAGAATTTGGGACCAGGGCTTTGCTCTGCTGTCAAATTACAGCACTGGAATAATCCAGTTGTCAGACTCAATCGAGAGGGATGTGACTTGGACCTTGCTTGCAAATCCTTCTGTGCCCACAGGCCAGGAATGAAGGGTTGGGGGTGATGTTGGCATGGGTGGGCACACAAACCAGCCCGTTATAACCCCATCACCATCTCCTAGTGATATATAGGTCTGTCAATTTCCATGCCTACCACTAGAGGGGATACAGCGGAGGTTCACCAGGATGTGGGACAGAGAAATTTTAGTTTACAACTGAGCTATGAGGAGACACTAGACAGGCTTGGATTATTTTCTCTAGGGCAGAGAAGGCTGATGGGGGGGGGAACATGACTGAGGTGTATAAGATGTTGAGGGTTATGGACAAGGTGAATAGAGTGCAGATGTTCCCCTGGGTTGGGTGGTGGGTCAGTCAGGAGGGGACACGGTTTTAGGGTAAGGGGCAGGAGATTCAGATGAGGATTTGGGAATAAACCTTTCTTACTCAATGGGTGTTGGGAAGTGGAGGCCGGAAACCTCTCAACCTTTTTCAAAAAAAAAATATTTGGACGGGCCCTTCAAACAAAAATCATAATATTCAAGGATGTGTGACAAGTGCAGGAAGTTGTGATTAGCGCGCTTTTAAACGGGGGTTTATGTCAGCACAGACGCGATGGGCCGAAGGGCCTTTTCCGCGCTGTGTGGGCTGAAGGGAAGGAGGTGGGCTGGGGTTGTAACAGGATGCTGGGCTGGTGCCGCTGCTCGGGTGGTTTTGCACCCCCCCCCCCCCCACTCGCCACTGCGTTTCGGTCTGTACTTCTCAAACTGTGCCCCGCTTCAGTTCCAGTGCCGCTGGTCATCGATCCCAAGACGGCACATCCCCACCTCAGCCTGTCGGCCGATTGCCGGCGACTGCACGCTGCCAGCGGGAAGCAACAGGCCAGGCGCCCGTGCAGGTTCGGCCGCTGCCTCTGCGCCCTGGGCTCGGAGGGATTCACCTCGGGGACCGTCTACTGGGAGGTGAAGGTGAGGACCAACTGGGAGTGGGTGATCGGGGTGGCCCCGCAAGCTATCGTCGGGCTGAAGGGCCGCGGGCCCGAGGGTCGCGTCTGGGCCCTGAGGAGATCAGGCGAGGAATACTCGGCCCTGACCTCGCCTCACACCCTCCTGCGCCTCAGTGTCAAGCCCCAGAGGATCGGCGTGTATCTGGATTACCAGGCAGGACAGCTATCCTTCTACAACGCTGACGACATGTCTCACCTTTACACTTTCACTGACACCTTCAGTGAGGAACTCTATCCTTATTTCTACACTGGCTGCAAAATGGACCCGCTGAAGCTGGTGAGCTTGCGTTTTTAAAGAATGGGAGGAGCCAGCTCCATTTTTACACTTTACATAGAAACAGGAGACAGCCATTCAGCACATCAGAATCATAGAGTTGTACAGCACGGAAACAGACCCTTCGGTCCAACTCGTGCATGTTCACAGGACATTCTAAATTAACCCCATTTGCCAGCATTTGGCCCATATGCCTCTTACCCTTGCTATTCATATACCCATCCAGATCCCTTTTAAATGTTTTAATTGTATCAGCTTCCTCTGGCAGCTCATACCATACATGCACCACCCTCTGCATGAAAAAGTTGCCCCTTGGGTTCTTTTGATATCTTTCACCTTAAACATATGCCCTGTAGTTTTGAACTGGGTGAGCCTATTCATCCTTTCCATGGCCCTCATGATTTTATAAACCTTTATAAGGTCATCCCTGAGCCTCCGACGCTCCAGGGAAAATAGCCCCAGCCTATATTCAGCCTCTCCCTATAGCTCAAAACCTCCAGACCTGGCAACATCCTTGAAAGGGTGCAGAAAATATTTACAAGTTTTGCTGTCCACTACAGCACCCATTTTGATGTCATCTGCAAATTTACTAACCATACCCTGTCCATCATTCAATCAGATCGAGAACCGATCTGTATCTTAACTCCTGTTTACGTGCTCGGGTCCCTATCCGCTGATGTATTACCTGACAAACAAAAATTATCAGAGGTAACAAGGTGTAGAGCTGGATGAACACAGCAGGCCAAGCAGCATCAGAGGAGCAGGAAGGCTGACGTTTTGGGCCTAGACCCTTCGTCAGAAAAAAAAAACAAAAAATATCTATCAGTTTTGACATTTTCAATGCCCCGCCCCAACCCTCCATTGTGCCAAGGAATGCTCGCTGACAGCACTCCTGTTTCAGTCTTCAGGTTCTTCTCCCCTTGTTCAGGACCTACCCCACCCCCACCCCCCCATCAAAGTTCCCGACCCAGGGAACTATTTCTCCTCTTCTATTCTGTGAAATCCTTTTGATGTTTGTAACATCAGGTTAGTTGACTGGGGAACTGAGTAGCATAACGTAACCCTCTAAAGCCCAACAGGTGTCAAAATGTGGAAATGTTCCTTTGGGTGATGCTCATCTGAGTTTAGCATTCGGTTGTGTTAACAACGGAAGTGTTGATGAAATGTAACGTTATCCTGATCATTTGTGATATTCTAACTCAACCTAGAATCCAATTCTCCTGCCCCCCCAACCCCCGACTTTGCTTTCTCACCATTGCCTTGTCCTTGAAGTAACAGCTTATCAAGGGCCAAAAAAAAAATTTCATTCACCACCACTAGGAGGAGTTAAAGCAAATTATATAGATCCATCTCAGGGCAAGCAAGATGGTGAGTGAGAATAGAGGCTTTGTTAAGGGTTTTTGTACCACAGTGGTAGTGTCTTTGCCTCTGGGCTGGAAGGCCTGGTTTCAAGGACCACTTGTGCCAGAGGCGTATCTCAAACTAACTGTTTCAAAACATCTTGAAGGATTTACCGATCAGGCAAAAGTGGTGGTGGGAAGCAGTTCACACAGACTAGGAACACCAATAAAGATTTGTTCATAAGTTTTCAATTACTATTATTAGGAGAACAACATCATCACATTTACTCTAACCCTTTTCCAAATTATATTTGTGCTGCAAATCCAATCATTACTTTACAAGTAGCAGCACATTTTCTGAATTTCATTGCATGAGTTGAAATTGTCTTGTTACATTTTGATTTGCGGATTATTTACAATTGTATTTCTTCGCCAATGTACGAATTAGAGAGATCGAGAACTGATAATAAGCCTTTGATATTGGACCTGTTCATTGCACAATAATATGGCACTTTTGCCTGGGTTCAAGTCCCAACTGTTCCAGAGATGTACAATAAAACCTCTGAACAGGTTGATTAGAAATATGTAGACTGCTTTAAAATTACATTGAATCATTTCCTGCATATTTTTTGTTTGCACTTTTATGTTCCATCTAATAATAAGCAATGATCAGATTAATTTATATGTGATTGAATTAGTATATGCATGTATAATAGAGTGGTGATGTTGTGAGCCCTCATGATTTTGAAACATTTCAGCATGGATATTGATGTTAGAAATTGTAATTATCATATTATTTAAAGTAAAGAACTTTACAGCTTTGCAAATGTATCTGTTCACGATGACTGGTAACCTTTGTTGGTGTGGTGTTGTCTTTAATGTTTCAACACAACACACGAGCACGCAAAGAAGAAGGAAAAGACAAAACAATAAGTTACAATGACAAATTATTAGAAAGATATTTGCATTAATTCAAATGATTTAATGTCAGTAAAGTCTGTGTACAGTATGGTTTAGCACCACCTTTTCCAGATGACTGGAGGATGAGCAATAAATGCTGGCCCAGCCAGCAATCTGTCATATCCCAAAAACAAATGAAATGAAACTTGTACTTCCTGCAAAATGAATATCATTTTCAGTTGGTTTACCTATTCTGACCCTTAGCAACGTTTTGCTTTTACCTGCACCACTTATACTCTCTTGGCGCTGAATCAATCGAAAATTGTGGAAGGGGGTAAAGACAGCGTTCCCCCTGAACTCCCCCCGTACCTGAGGGATGTGAGCTGGGATAAAATTCCACACCCAAATCCCGCTCGCTTCCCAGGGAATGTGAGGGAGTATCAGGTCAGCACCAATGCTGAATGTCAACTGCTTAGCTGAACCAGACTAGAGGAACGCGCTCACAGATCTTCCTTCTTCACGGACCTTCTGATTGTCCGGCCTGACTTTTATGGGAATCTGGGACAAATGAGCATGTTCTCTATTGAACGTCAGGGAATTTTACAGTGGGAAAGGGGAGATATTCCTAAAGAGATATACCATCTTTGGGGATTGGGGTGGTGACTAAAGGATCAGCATTGAATAAGGGGGCATAAAATTAGAGAACAGTGGATTGGTGAAGCTCCTTTCTCGTTGCAGTCACTGACCCATCCCCACTTGATCTGTTCCCTACTGAGCTTGAATTACCCACTCCCCACTGGCCCTTGTCTGGATCCATTGCCAATCAATCCATCACTTCTCTGTTTGCACCAATGATGAGTTCAGAAGAACTGCCTTTATCTTTCTTAAAATTCATTTATTCTCTGGATGAGGGCAGCAATGGCTGGGCCAGCGCTTATTGCCCAGAGGGCAGTTTAAGAGTCACCCACATTGCTGTGGGTCTGGAGTCACATGTAGGCCAAACCAGGTAAGGACAACAGCTTCCTTCCCTAAAGGGCATTTGTGAACCAGATGGGTTTTTTTCCCCTGACAATCAGGAATTGGCTTCATGGTCATCATTAGATTTTAATTCCAGATTTTCTTACTCATTAAATTCAAATTCCACCATCTACCATGGCCCAGCCAGCAATGTCCACATCCCATAAATGAATAAAATAAAACCTCATCCCGACCCATAAATCCTGCCTAACAGGTTGCGTTAAAACTGCCTCTTCATCCGTATAATCCTTTTAACTTGCCATGAGGTAAGTTCAGTTCATGACCTCTGATCACCTAGTCCGTTATCATGACCACGACATAATCTCACCCAGTGTTCACGCCTAACTAGCCCCTGGCTATTTATAAAGGCCTGAGCTCATTGCAGTGTGCTTCCCTGCTGGTGAAATTTGAAGCCTTTGAAGGGTCGTTGCTGCTATATTGTAGGGCATCGTGGCATGCTCAACTGTGATGAAGTTTCCACCTCCTGTTACCAAACCTGTCCCTGCATCAATTGTCTTCCAATTGTCTTCGCTGTTATATTCAGGGTGCTAACATGACATGTTGGAATGACTGCCCATTACAGGATTCATGTGGGAAATCTGCCACCCCCTGTCAATTGCAGTCATGTCAGCAGCGCCTATAATCCATCTCCCTGTGTACTGGACTCAGATACAGCTTAACATCCAGCCTTAACGTAGCGTTGGAAACCAATGAGCCACCATGTCAGTGCTGCCTCTTTGCGAGAGGCACTCAGGCTAAGTCCCAATCCCACAGCGTTTCCCCGTGCGTCCTGTAAATGTTCATCCTCGGGGAAATTGTTAAAATCAAAAGCTAAGGTTGAATCTGCCTCCTCCACAACCTGAAGCCATACATTCCAGACCACTCGCTGCGTGGAAAAGGTTTTCCTCACGTCACTCAGCGATAGTAAAAACTGCCGATGCTGGAGTCAGAGATAACACAGTGTGGGGCTGGAGGAACATAGCAAGCCAGGCAGCATCAGAGGAGCAGGAAAGTTGGAGTTTCGGGTCGGGACCCTTCTTCATATCTCTTTTTTTTTTGCCAGTCACCTTAAATCTACGTTCTCTGACCCCTTCCGACAATGGGATCAATTTCCCCTGATCTACTCTGTCGGGAACCTTCACGATTTTGAATGCCTGGATTGGAATTTCTCTCAACTTTCTTTTCCTGAGTAGAGCAGCTACAGTTCCTCCAATCGGGTGATGTAGACGATCTTCATCCCTGGGAGGATTCTCGTAAATTCTTCCTGCAGCATCTCTGATCCTTTCAGATCCCTAGTCAAGTGAAACGAAATCCAGTATTCACTTTGTTCCAGGAAAACATTGCAGGAATCGTGGGATTCTCCACAGGAAAATGAAGAAATATGGATCATAAAGAATGAAGACACTGCAAATCTGAAGATGCTGAAGGTGAGATCGTGGAGTATCGAATAATGCTCTGATATTGTTATCAGAGGCAAGCTGCCCCAAAACCATCAACCAGTTCTAAAGGCAACATGGACACCCTCTTTTTTTTAAATCATTCGTGGGTGGGACTTAGAACTAACTGCAAGATTACAAATGGTGGCCGAGTTTAATGTTGCAGTTCTACATTTCACCTCGGGAACTGTAGGTGATAGACATACCAAAGCCCATCTTGCCTGCTGCAAATCAACCCATCAACCAGCCCATGCCTCCCACTGTCCTCACCTTTCCGGGAGGAGCCTGCCCACAGCTAAACTGATCGAGTCAATTCCCTGGTTTTAGCACCTTCCTATCTCAAAGTCACCTATGTCCTCAGGCAAATCACTTTGTTGATCCTGCTGGAGCCTCACAATCTGCTCTGTGACTCCAATTCTATCAAATCTCAGCTGCTTTGGAAGTCTCACAACTTACTTCCTCATGTCCTTCCAAACCTAATGCCTGACCTCTCAGCTCAAAGTGTCTCAGTGGTTAACATGGCTGCCTCACAGCGCCAGGGACCTGGGTTCAATTCCGCCCTCGGGTAACTGACTGTCTGTGTGGAGTTTGCACATTCTCCCAGTGTCTGTGTGGGTTTCCTCTGGGTGCTCCAGTTCCCTCTCACAGTCCAAAGATGTGCAGGTTAGGTGGGTTGGCCATGCTAAATTGCCCATGGTGTCTGGGAATGTTTAGGTTAGGTGGATTAGCCATGGAAAATGTGGTAATATGGGCCTGCTGGGATGCTCTTTGGAAGATCAGTGTAGACTTGATGGGCTGAATGGCCTGTTTCTGGACTGTAGGGACCCTATGAACTCTATCCTTTCAGACAGTGACAGTGTCTTTGCTTGAGCAGCCTATGTTGCTGCACCATTACCTTCAGTTGCCGAGATCCCATGCTCCTTAAATCTCTCCATTGCTCCTCCTGAAACTTAGTATTTGATCTGGCCTTTGGTCAGCTATCCAGATAGCGTGGCGTTAAATAGTTTTTGGGAACATTCCTCTTATGCACACACTAAAAGCACTATTGTAACTGAAGTCATCCATTAACTTCATTTTTGTTTGTTATCTTTTATTTTCAAATCCCTCCATGGTCTCACCCCTCCCTAGCTCTGTAAGATCCCTCAGTTCACCCAGTCCCCACAACCCATTGAGATAGCATATTGAAAATATATTGTAGTTACTACTGGAAAGGATAGATCTCAATTTAGTAATTAAAACAATCTCACTCTTTCCCATTCTACGGCTGTATTTAACTGAATGGAGATTTTTGGCTGCTGGAATAAAAAAGACATTCTTTTGAAAGTATCCACTGTCATAGTTGCATGTTAACTGAACTAACAGAGAACCAACATAAACAATGAAATGTACAAGGATCGAAAGCTGCACTCCTGCAATTTTTCCCAGAAATGTTAGGGAACTAAGTACAGAACTGAAGGAAATCAGTGTTAGTAACAAACTAGTACTGGGGAAATTAATGGGGTTAAAGGCTGATAATCTGCCTCCCAGAATACTAAAGGGAGTGGCCCTGGAAATAATGGATGTGTTGGTGGTCTACTGCCGAAACTTTATAGACTATGGAGCAGTTCCTACAGATTGAAGGATGGCAAATGTAACCCCACTATTTAAAAAAGGAGGAAGAGAAAAAACACAGAATCTCACCCCATCCCTGTAACCCTACATTTCCCTTGGCCTATCCACCTAACCTGCATACCTTTGGACTGTGGGAGAAAACTGGAGCACCCATAGGGACCCACACAGATAAGGGGAGAATGTGCAAACTCCATGCAGCCAGTCACCCAAGGGTGGAACCAAACCTGGGTTCCTGGTGCTGTGAGGCAGCAGTGCTAATGGCTAAGCCACTATGCTGCCCTTCTCTGAGGTGAATTGACAACTCTCTCTGATCTTGTTCAGATTTGAATCTGAGATTGTTGGTTTGTCACAATCTATTCTCTTTCTACATCAGTGCATATCTGTGAGTCTTCTATTGGTCTTGGATCTTCTTCATCATCAGGGTAGTAAACCAAGTCTGCATGGGTTTACTCATCAGGGATCTTAAGGCTTTTGGGTTATTTGGGTTTTGTTCCTTCTTATGATTCCTTGAGACCCTTACAACCAAACATGGCACTGGTAGAGTTGTTTTGGTGTCAGGCCATATTGTCTTGCCTGGCTGAAGAATTGCAAACTCTCTTGCTCAATGGCAATGATTAAAGTTCCAGTATAGATTTTCTTCTAGTTCTCCTCGCGCCTTCTTACCATGTTGTGGTCTTCTTCAGTTTTATGTTTTAGTTTCTTTAAAAGTGATCGCAGCTGTATTTGCTGTTATTTCCCATATACAATTCTGCTGGAGGCAATCCATTTTGCAAAGGGGATGATCTGTAGTTTTAGCTAATACTACATTAAGATTATCTTTCTTCTTTCATATAGTTCTTGCATATATCTTGGACAGTTCTTAT